CAGGATGTCAATGTTTATTCTTGCCATCTCCTGTTTGACCACATCCAGCTTACCAAGGTTCATCGATCTTACACTCCAGGTTCCTATGCAGTATTTTTCTTTGCAGCATCGGAGTTTCCTTTCACTTCTAGGGGCGTCTGCAGCTGAGTGTCCTTTCGGCTTTGGCCCAACCACTTCATTAGCTCTGGAGCTACTTGTACTTGTCCTCTGTTGTTCCTCAGTAGCATGTTGGATGCCTTACAACCTGAAGGGCTCATCTTCCAGTGTCATATCTTTCAGTCTCTTGTTTCTGTTCATGGGGTATTCTTGACAAAGATACTGGAGTGGCTTACTAGTTCCTGCTCCAGGTGGATCGTGTTTGGTCAGAACTCTCCACTATGACCTGTCCGTCTTGGGTGTCCCTGCATGGCATAGCCAATAGCTTCTCTGAATTACTCAAGCCCCTTCAGACAACAAGGCAACAATCCGTGAAGGGGTGAAAGGATCTAATGATGGCAATTATTATATAGGAAACAGACCTTGAGCTATTGTGGACATATTGATGGAAGTGTCAACTCAAATGTGTGGTTGATGTGAAAAAATAATGAAATATCTTCTCTACTATGCAGAAAGGTCACAATATTTGACATTCTTTAGCTTAGGACAAGCTAGGGAAAACTTGAAAGAAGCACATACAGTGGTGCCTTGCTTGACGATTACCCCGTTAGATGTCGAAATCGCTTGATGATGAGTTTTTTGCGATCATTATAGCGATCACAAAATGATGATTCCAATGGGGTTTTTTACTTTCACTTGATGACGATTTCTCTTAACAGCCATTTTAACGGAACACATTATCGTCGTCAAGCGGGGCACCACTGTATAGTATGTGTGGTACAGGCTTGGAGAGTTTGGAAGTCAGGCTCATCCACTTAATGAATGATGGAACATGAATATCCAAGTACTGTACACTTAATGAATGATGGTATATCCAGGACAGATAAAAGGAGTTCTCCATATTGCACCTAATACAGTGTAGTCATGGCAGTCAATTTGAATGACTTTAAAAAGAGATTATTCAACAAACTTCAGGGAGAATGTGGCTACCGGGCTATTTGTCATGATGGCTCCATATTCTAACAATAGAGGCATGATGCAAGTTTTTAGGGAATACAGGCAGAAAACTGTATACTGTACAGTACTTGGATATTCATGTTCTGCCATAGGCTTCTCAGTGGGTCATCTGGCTAGCCACTGGTAACAGAATGCTGGACTAAATAGGCCTTTGATTTGACCTTGTATTATTTGTCTCATGCTCTTGCATTTGAAGTGGGCCAATTCACAAAACACTGGTTTAGTTGGTGGGGAGTGAAACAATATTGTTCGGGGGGGGGAGCATACCTGTCTGAAAATGTCCACACACTTTTAATGCCAGAATCATGCTTGCAAGCTAATTAGGACTGTGAACTGTTTGTCAACCAAACATGGTTGTTTCCACTGCAGTGTTCATTTTCAAAAGGTAGGCTTGATCTGTATTGAAAATCAGGTTTCTGATTAGAAAGTTGCCACGGAAACCTCATCTTTCTCATATCAGCTGTTTGTTGCCTATCTGATCCTGCACAAGCTACTATTTATGTCTGTCAGTCTCTCTACACCTTGGCCTGACTGTCACAGGTCTGCCTGTACTCCAAGGAAATAAAGATGCACTTTCCAGTGCACAGAACTGGTGTGACACATGGATACACATGTGCCCATGAAGCATAAAAAATGCTCAGCTGCTGCTTGTCTCCAATGGGACGGTGCTCACTGTAGGACTGAATCGGCAAATGTCTTCTGTAAATAAATTATCAATACCAATTATCAATACCATACCCTTCAGGTTTTATATTACTTTCTCTCCTGGTTATGTCAGTCTCATCACTCCAGAAAAGGACCATTTCAGATTACAGTAGAATGGGAAGAAGGAACTATTAATAGCAAGAGTAACCCAAGTTTCAGTAATGTGGTTTATGCTTGAATAAATTCAATACATTAAGAACATGTTTGTGGTTATTTTGTTCACACTTCACAGTAACTGGAGATAATGTTTTTATTGAGAAATCATCACTTGTGGTCTGAAACCCAGGGTGTTGAGCCACTTCTGCATTTCATAGTTGAAAATCAAAGGTTGGTTCTCTTCTTAAATGTTGCAAGTGCAAAGTATGATTTCAGATTGTTAAAGTTTAGATTAAAAGGTGGTAATTGAAAAATCCACTGAAAGGAGGTAAACATAACGAAAAACAAAACAAAATAACAAGACTAACACTTACTTTAGTATGAACACTTATGGATCACAGAACACTTCTTCATACACAATCCATTAATCCACAGGTCATACTAAAATTTCTTAAGTCTTTAAAGTGCCACAATGCTTTGTTTTGTTTGGTGTATATGTGCTGTAATTGACTAATGCGGCCATCTCTCTCTCTAAAATTAAAATTAAAAATTAGGAGTTAAATCAAGGAATCATGCATTTCCTAACATGACATAACACAACTTTCCATCTTCATCTGTACCTGATAAAAGATACTGGTGCTCATCTGTAAGAGTCTAAACAGGTAATTTGCAGCCCCCAAGATGTTCAGCTGTCATTCCTATCATTGCTTACCAGTGCTCACAACATGTATACCCCTAGTCTAATCAGACATGACAGTAACATGATCTCTGTGTTGCCAGGACAGGTTAAACAGGTGTTTTTGAAAGCTGAATATGCTGAATCCACCCAAAATTTGTGCTTTCTTCTACTCTCCCTTCAGCTAAATTCTCTGGGCTGGACTCTGAAAATGGAAACACGCCTCAGTGACCGGAAATTCAAGGAGAAATTATAGTAGAATATAGTCTCTTGCTCCTTCTTAGCTGGCCCCTTCTTTGTACGGAAGCTGCTGCTAAAACCATGTTAATACCACTTTAATCAGAATGGTTCACCGGTGGTCTGTGTCTTTCACTTTTCATTTAGTTGTAGCCTGAGATGCTCCTAGTTTATAGGAGAGTATAAGACTCTTGAGAGTCCCCTGGACTGCAAGGAGAACAAACCTATCAATTCTGAAATAAATTAACCCCGAGTGTTCACTGGAAGGACAGATCCTGAAGCTGAAGCTCCAAAAATTTTGGCCATCTCATAAGAGAAGATTCCCTGGAAAAGACTCTGATGTTGGGAAAGTGTGAGGGCAAGAGGAGAAGGGGACAACAGAGGTCAAGATGGATGGATGGTGTCATTGAAGCTACCAACATGAATTTGACCAAACTCCAGGAGGCAGTAGAAGACAGGAGGGCCTGGCGTGGTCTCGTCCATGGGGTCACGAAGAGTCGGACAAGGCTTAACCACTAAACAACAAAAAGTCCATTGATGAAGGCCTCTGCTGTTAAGGTCATCTACTGCTGCTTGTGGTGTAACAGTCACTATCATTTTCCCCTTGAATTCTTTCCCAGTGTCTACACTGATTTCTGTTGCTGAACTCACTGAAGGACTGAGAGTTCTGAGAAGATGGTGTTTTGTTGAACACTATAATTTACAGCTGTGGTAGTGTCACTACCCAGGGTATAATCATGCTCTTGGCAGTAATTACACTCAACTTTTTCTAAACCTGTTATTCTTGTGGCCTGGCTCTTATCCCAAAGGATACCTCTGGAAGCCACAACTGGACATTTCATTCTAAATAGGTGATGTTGGCAAATTGCAGAAATGTTGCTTAATTCAAACAAATGTAGTTATCATTGAAAAACATGTGAGTTCTACTCCCCTAAATGATGTGCTTTATTCAACAACCCCATTGACCAGACAGCTTCAATTTACACGAAAGCAAAGCAAGTAACAGATTATTCTCCATAGGCCCAAAGAAGGAGGTAGTACAATATTCCTCTGAAGTGCTCAGGTTTGGATGTTGGGGAATCTACAAAGGAAAAACTAGAATTCCTACTCTCTAGATGTCTGGCCCAATCCTATATAAAGTTTTGACTATTCTTTTATGGTAATGAACAGAAAGCCTGTGCCTCCAAGATAAACAAAAAATGATAGCAGGGCACAACTTCACTTCAGCACTGTTTTAGGCCACAGTTGAGGGATACTGGTTTTTTTTAGCATCCACCTATCTTGCACATGTGGGAACCCAAGGCAGCAGGGAGGCCAGTCAGACCCACTCCGCTCTTCTGAGCGGCTCTTTACGCAGATTTTTTTTCACACTGAGGAGCGTCGCGAAGTTGCTTCCCCCCCCCCAGTATGCAGTGGGCACCCTACCATCTCAGTCTACCCTCCATGAATAAAAGGCTGCAAAAAAGGCTTCCTTGCTTTCAGCTGTATTCGGAACAACTTAAAATTCCTCAGGGGTTAACTTTTGGGAGGAAAACCTAAACACAAAGATACTTTCGAAGCCCGTCCTGCCCCTCAAGCGCGAGATAGAATAAATAGATAGATAGATAGATAGATAGATAGATAGATAGATAGATAGATAGATAGATAGATAGATAGATAGATAATTTCCACGCTGCAGTCGGAAGTCCTTTGCGCTCTTCGGCCACCGCTCCCCAGTCTCCCCCTCAGGCCTCCAGCGTCTCCTCCGGCTGTTCCTGGAGAGGAGATGCGCCTTGCCTCTTCCTGCGGTTCGGATGACAAAAGTGATGGAAGGCCACGTCGTGTGGTGTGTGTGTGTGTGTGGTTTTTTTTTATGTTACAATATGGCTTTTGGGAGGGACAAAGCCTCCTACTTCGCAACTCAAACCGGGCTGAGGAGACGAGGTGCAAACCGCTCGACGTCTCCTCAGAAGAGCCCGCCCTCCCTCTTTCTTCTCCATTCGGCCTATGTACGTGGAGCTTTGGGAGACTCGCTCCCTCCCCCGACCGACGCAGCGGCCGGCCGAAGCGCTGGCCCCTTTCCGCGGGGCCTGGCGGCTCGCTGGCTCCCCAAGCGGAGGCGGGACCAAGCGGGAAGGGACCGTCTCCTTTTCCTCCTCCTCCTCCTCTTCCCCGTGGCCTGGGCTGCCTGTTCCCTCCTTTCCTATCCGTTCCAAGCGGAAGATGGCGGCGGAGCGGAGCGGCAGCTGCGGGCTGACTGTGCGGCCTGAGGGATCGTTGTGGCGCGCCGCAGTCACGCGGCCGGTGCTTGACCGAGCCTTGTAAGCCTCCTGGTAAGTCGGGGCTGGAAAGCCGGGATTGCCGGACTTCGAGGTCCCTTCGTGGCGCGTGGAAGACAATTTGGCGGGGAGGGGGGGCAGCAGTTTTCCCTCATGTTCCTTCGCGACCTCAGGTGAGGAGGTACGAGGAACCAGCAGACCTGGGCGGGAGGGGGAGATCATCGCTTGGGATGTGCTGGAGAGAGTGGGGACCTCGGAAGGGAGGGACGGGGTCCGGGCTGGATAATCGGTGATTTGGAAGCCGGAGGCGGGGGGGAAGCCGCGGAGCCGCGCCGAGATGGGGGAGTGCGAGACTGACTGAGTCTCAAAGGCCCCCGGGTGGAGGACCGACCGGGGGATGATGTAAAACCACGGCAGGATTAAAGTCTGAGGCGCGTGTCTGTGAAGGGGGAACCGCTGAAGCATCCACTGCACGAGAGAAACAGCCACGGGGGATAATAGCAACTTGGGGCTTGCCTCGAGTACTCAAACGCACAGCACTCGGAAGTGTTAATTTTTCCAATAAATGAAAGCTCACGTGAACATAAACGCATTAATCTTAAGGTTCCACCACACTCTTGGATATTATTCCATCGTATTTCTCCCCAAGGAGCTCAGGGTGGTTAGCTGTGAGGTTATCCTTTCTTCACACCAGCCCTCCAAGACTGAGAGACAGTGACTTGCAGGCAGCTGCCCAAGTAAGTTTAATAGTGGAATCCTTTTAAAAATGGACCCATGCTATATCTCTTTTCTCTAAATTATGAAATCCTTGAGAATATATTCTTTATCACATACCTGCCAGGAATGGTATAACACAATTGTGAAAGTAAGGACAGGTGGTATTGTTATTAGATCACTAAAATAATCATAAACCTCAGCTAGTTTTTGACCTTGTACAATTCTTCATTAGGCTGGGCAACACAGACCTGTGGATGGTGCTGAAAACCCCCAGAAAACTTCAACAAATAATGACAAGGACATCTGCTGTGAAGCACAGTCCCCAGTTCCTATCCCATCTCTCCATAAATCTAAGTATGATATATTCTTCCAGCCCTGGTCTTCTCCTCTCACTCCTCATCTGTAAAGTGGGGTTAGTAAATATTACTTGAGGCAAGGTATGTGACATTTTTGAGTGGACAAAGGGGCTGTATTGATGCTAAACATTATTATTGCCCTTTTTCCTAAAATTGTAGGGGCAGTGTAGAAGCAGTGTTTTCTAATTTTTTTCCACGTCATAGTACTCTGAAATGCAGACTGTCCAGTGCCTTCATATGAATCAGTTGAACAAGTGATCCTTTATTTCAACTTTTTCAGTATTGCAAGTTGTTCCACAGTTTTCAGATGGGTCAGAATTACTATTCTTTCATTACAGATAGGGCCTAAGGTTCAATAAGCAGTGGTTTACAAAGGAAACCACTTTACATTACATTCAAAATAGGAAGATGTAAAAGCATGGAATTATAAAGAATAGGTTAGGTGCATGGAAGAGGGAATTGATTTGTTTGAATGCTAGCAGAAGTAACAATAAACTTTCAGGTGAGGCATTCTGGGAAGAATATTGAGGAGGGGACATAAGTAGAACATATGTCTTTCATGCCAAAGGCCCCAACTTAATTTTACAGCATCTCTAGGTGATAAGGCTTTGTTGCACAGGGATGGACAAAAGGTTAATCAGAAGCTCTAGGTGAGTTGCAGTGGATTTTCAAGTGCTCCGGTAATTTCACAAGTATGACTGATAGTAAGGAAAAACCTTCAGTGGCTGATATAGTGATGGTCAGTTATCACTTAGCCTTCAAGTTTTTCATTAACAAAATGGGAATATTAATTAGTTGCCTTTGATGAGTTCTTTATACAACTCTGCTCCTTGCTTTGGGTAATGTGTACAATGATAATAATAAATTTGTAGATTTGGATGGTATACGCCCATACACACTTTTGATATATGTTTCATGGGCTCCGGGTAGTAGTTGATACTGCTTCTCTCTTTTTAATAATGTATACTAGTTCTAGTTAATAGATCTTGTGGGTCTAGCAAGAAGAAGATTCCCACAAGCCAAAGTTTGACCATCTCTGCTGTAGCAGCCTAGTCAGTGCTTTTGAGAATTGCTGTTTATTAACTGCTACCAATTAGGCTAGACCAGTTTTCCTCATACTGGTAACCTTCATATGTTTTGTGCTGCAGTGCCACGCTGATATCAGAGTAATTACCAGGTTAATATACATGATGAGAACATTGCACAGACAGGGCACTACTACCAAGAAAGCTCTTTCTCCATTAGTTGTCTGTTACATCTCAGAAGGTGGGTGAGAAAGGTCCTGCTGAAGTTCTTCGTTTGCTCACAGTGCATGCTTAGGACACTCTAATCAGAATTCTTTAAAGATCAAACCCAGAACTTTAAAGTTAGTCTGGCAGTGGCCCAAGATCAAAGCAATTGAACAAACACCATTGCAATAAGATCATAATTCACAGTCCTGTTTAGCAGCCTAGCACTATATTTTGAACTAGAGATAGGCACGAACCTCAGTTCTGAGTTTCATGCCAGTTCATAAGCACTGCACAACAGGTCCTGCATGTTTCCTTTCCCTGCCTCCCCAGCTGGTGCCCCACTCACTGGCCAGAGTGTGCGCCCCTCTTCCTTCTCTTCGGCTGTTCAGCCAGTCCACAGTGGGAGCACGGATATGCCTGTCCCGCCTTGTTTTCTGAGTGGGCAATCAGCCAAGGAGGCAGGGCAGGGAAGCCCTTTCTCCTACTGGGCATAACAGCTAAGGAGGAGGAAGACAGGACCACATGCCAGCTGGTGAGTGGAGGAAACCAGCTGGGGAGGGGAACTCACAGCACCTGTGCTTATGAACCGAACCAAGGTTCATGCCCATCTGTTACAATTTGCAATGTTATTATGTTTTTTTATTTAATTTGCCACCCTGTTGGCCAAATTTTATATATATATTTATCTCTCTCTCTCTCTCTCTCTCTCTCTATATATATATATATATATATTTGTTGCCATGTTTTAGTTTTAGTTTCTAAGCTGAAAACTTATGGACACTATGAGGCTGCTGATAATAAATCAGTAAGATAATATTTCTTCAGAATGGCAGGCAAACTACAAATTGGAAGAAATGCAGTAAGTGGATTTGTGAGCCTTAAAGCAACCCGGCACATAACATATTGCAATGTAATGTGCATGTCAGCAGAGTTTAGTATTTAATGCTAGGCTATCTTTCTTGATAGCATCCCAGTATGGATGCTATTCTAAACTGATGAAAGGTGTTCTATACCATGGAGGTAACTTCTGTCTCCAATAATAGAATAGGATCATGGAGTACACATGGCAGCAGACCTGTTGGTTCATGGGGGAATGGAACATCATCCAGAAAAGAATGGCACTGCCATGTGGCAGGAAAGAAACATTATAATAGAACACCCATCTTATAAGTTTCTTGGCTTTTATCTAGTCCATCACCACTTGCTAGCACTGATTCAGCATCCATGCAGCCTGTTCTGATTAAGGTAGAAAGAAGAGGGAGCTGGTAATATCACTTGCAGTTTATTGCCACATATAGTTCTGTCTCATCCGGCTTAGCACAAATGTTGTGAAGTCAAGCAGTAATCCCCTTAATGGGACATCATTTTGGGAGCTGGTGTCCTTGTAGAACCAGATGTAGACATGGGAGTGGAAATAATGGAATAGTATGTACACAGTTTTCCATTCAAACAGTCTGTCCAGCAGTGTTCAGTAGTCACTAGTCATGGAAGCCTAGGGAGAGCCAGGAGAATTAACAGGCATCTGCTTTCATGTTTTTCTTCCAGTTTAGTTCACCTATGAGAGAAATCAAAGGGTTACTGGTATCAGTCAGTCAATAGGTTTGTTCTGGTCATATGACCTGTTCAGATACACAGTGTACTGTTATCAAAACCAGGCTTGGAAATCAGACTCATTCCAAACAGACGTCTTTTGGCACTTTAAAGACTAACAAACCTAACAAACCATAAGCTTTTATGGACTAGAGCCCATGTCATCAGATGCATGAAATGTTGTCCTCACTTGGCAGGTACATGCACATATGTTTGTTTGTTTCTTTGGTGGATTGCAAGCAGTTAGAGCAGATGGAACTGAAGTACAAAAATTACAGACAATGACATTATGTTAAAGCTTAGGTTTACAGTGATCATTGTTGACGATAACCTTGAATTCCTAAGTTAATTAACCCCTAGAGTGAGATAAAAATCTCTTGTCCTTATTAAGAGCTACAGTTGAATTTCATTGTAAATTGTAATCCAGCAGTTTTTTCCCCTGTATTCTCCCTTTAGTGACTCTATCTACTTTCCAAACTTTAACATAATTATTACTTTCTGTACTTTGAGCAGTTCAATTCCTTGTGTCCTGACTACTTATGAGTTTCCCAGTTGCATGGATGCATATTTCTGAGCTTTAAATAATGCTTCATGCATCTGAACAAGTGAACTGCCACAAAAGCTTTACTCAGTAATAATTTGTTAGCCTTTGTGATGCTGCAGCACTATTTTTTGCTGAAATAGACAATAGAAGTCTCATCCAACAGATATCTCAGTCCAAAGCAGATTTCTTCAGAAGGAATTAACAGCATTGCCTCATTTAAAATACCCAGGACCAGCCCATTTCATAAAGAAGCATATACCTATGCTGTGATGCAACTTGTCAGATCATCTCTGCTCAATGTAGTGAAGTCAGGAGTGAAATGCACAAATGGTAGCTCTTCAGACCTCAACAGTTCAAATTCATCCATCACCAATGGGACCAAATAGCTCTGAAGTGCATTCATGGATTCAAGGGAATCAATAGTAGCAGGCTGATGGTGAATGATTGTATTTTCAAAGAGTTTAGCAAACATGTCACAGCATGCCTCCACAGATTCCTTAATATCCCTAGTCAGATCAAGTTGCAAAAAGGATGTGAATCCCCCAGAAAAGCTGTGCTAGGTGGTATTTGGAGAATGCAATGGAATCAGTGAAGCGTAGCCTTTTTTTTTTTTTT